CAATCTAATTCACCACCCCCTCTCAACTGGACCCCCTTTTGGGTCGCAAGGATACTTTGTATATGGCGAAGTCGGCATGAATGTTAGACGATGTTTCGTGGCCGTAGACTAATGCCTATTTGCGCCTAAAGGTTCGTGGATGTTCCGTGGCTCTAGGTTGCGCCTGAAGCCTCAGTGCCCTTTTCGTGGCCATAGGTGTCGCCCATGGATTGCGCAGGCGGTTTTGAGGATTCTGCGTTGCCATGCTTCGCGCCGATGGGTTGCGCCCGAGGGTCCGAGGAGTTCTCCTGGCTATAGGTTGCGCCCATGGGTTGCGCGTGAAAGACCGATTTTTTCGTGGCCACAGGTTGCGCACACACGTGTTGCGCCCATGGATCGCGCATGAGCGTCTGGTGATTTTTCGTGGCTATCGGCTGTACCTATGGGTTACGCCATACGCTGCGCTCATGGATCGCGAATGAGGGTTCGAGGATGATCTGTGGCCATGGGTGGCACCCATGGGTTGCGCCTTAGTGTGTAGTGCTTTTGTTTGTGGCCGTAGTTTGCGCCCATGGCTTGCGCCTGAGGCTCCCAAGACTTTTCGTGGGCATACGTTGCAGCCATTTGTCGCGCCATATGTCGCGCCCATGGGTTGTGCCTGAGGCTCGTGTTTCTGCGTGGCCATACGTTGCACCCATGGGCCTCGCCATAGGTTGTGCCCATGGGTTGTGCCTGAAGCTCAGTAACTGTTTTTGGATGGCCATGCGCTGTACCCATGCGCTGCACTGTAAGTTGCGCCCATGGGTTATACCACAAGTTCAGGATTTTGCGTTGCCATGTGTTGCGCCGTTGGGCTGCATCTAAGAAGATTAAGGGTTTTGCGTGTCCATAGGTCGCGCCAAGAGTTGCATAATAGGTTGCGCGTTCTCGCCACAAGGAAATCCTGGTGGTCAGAGTTTGCACACATGAGTTGTGACGTTAGGGTTCGCCCTCACACGTAGGACTTCTTGATGGCTATTGGTTAAGCCCATGGGTTGCACCAATAGGCTGGTCGTCCTCGCCCAGGACATCTTGGTGGCCTTAGGTTGCGCCTATGGGTTGCACTTATGTGTGTAGTCTGTGCGCCTACGCATAATAGTAATGCTTTGTATTGGACTGTACTGCGTTTAAACATATCGCGCCACATAGATTTAGCAACATCCCTGTTTGGGTCCACGCTGGATTATGCTGGGTGGTTGGTCGTGAAACTTGTTCTGGACACTCTGGGGACACATGGGAGAAACGACAATGTGGGAAATGAAGATGGGCCTTGCTTGATCTTGGGCCTTCCATACGCGGACCAAACCCGAACCAGAGTTCGTGATAGCACTGTTGCGTGGACCCTCCCACTATCACCCCCTGGCCCCCCCTTTCCCCGCCGCCAGCGCGCTGGTGGATACGCACAACATCGCAACTGGTCATGCACTGTCGTTCTTCACATGGATGGCACGAGCACGTGACCGGACTGTGGTGCCAACGACGATAGCTTCTTAGCAAGGTGCGTGCTGAGGCGTCCTCCAATGGCCACCGCGGCACAATCGATCAAAGGATCGTGGCAAGAACGCTGTGCCTGCCCTATCTCCACGGCTCAAAAGCTTACCCGCGCGTGGACGTGGCTGTGCGCTACAGGTGCGGCAAAGCCCATCCCGGGGCCGCCCGAAGCCACCCTGGATCCTCCAGAGGACTCCCTGGAGGTCCCTGGAGGTCCCCTGGAGGCCCAAGGGCCAAACACGCCCAATATCCTCAAGCCTCGAGCTCCATCCTGCTCCTGCCGGGCTGACCCTGGCATGCACAACCAAGAGAACCCTCGCGACCGAACTGCTGGACCCTAACTCCGCACGCCCCCGCGAACCAGACCGCTTCGTGGGGGTCCCAGAGGCCCGCAGCTTGGGGCAGGCACTGCCGTCGTGCTTCCTCCCGCGGCCTCGGCTTACGCCGCAAGTAGCTCCGGACGCACCCCGCCGTCAGCCCGACCGCTTGCTGGACCCAATCCGCCGCAGACTTAACAAGTTTCTCCCCGCGACGCCCAAAGATCGGGCTCCGAGCTCGGAGGCGGCCGAGGGGTCTGAGCTGGTTGGGCTCCGAGAAGATCGGCTAAGAGGAGAAGGGGATGAAGGGAACTCCGTTCGAAATCTGTCCCTGGACCCCGCCTGGGGCCCACTTGGAGCAGTTGTTCACCCCGGATCCGTTTCTGACGGCCACGAGGTCCTAAATCGGCCCGATGAGGAGGAGGAGGAGGAGGAGGAGGAGGAGGAGAAAGAGGAGGAGGAGGAGGAGGAGGAGGAGGAGGAGGAGGAGGAGGAGGAGGAGGAGGAGGAGGAGAAACCGAAAGAAGGCCCAAATCTTCCCGAACCCAGCGCCTCGGACCTCCTGCCCCACCCCACTTCCACCCTTCCTGCTGGCCAGAACCAGGTGCTGGGCCACCTCAGACCCCCCAGGCGGCTCCAACAACAGTTGGCGGTGCGCACAAGGGGGTAGGGGG